GGGCTGGGCGGGTTGGGGGCCGGGCCGGGCCGGGAGGGGACCGCACGCACCCCGGGCTCCCCACGCTTTGTTTCCCGGGCGACCCCGCGCCCTTGGCCCGGCGCACAGCTGTCCGCGGGCGTTGCCCCGTGTGGGTTGGGTGGCCAGGTCCCCTTGACCCGGCAGACGCCGCTCCCGCGCGCAGAACCGCCGGGACAAAGGCGGGTCAGGGGCATTCTCCCCAGCCCGGGGCAGGGCCGGACATGCCCGGTGCGCGCGGCTGGACCCGGGCGCAGCTGGGGAGGGGTGGGGCGCGGTGATCAGGTCCACCTGCGCGCAAGGAAGATGGGGCGCGAGTGTCTAAGGTTGAGGGACACTCAGGTTGAAGGATGCCCAATAGAGCCCCTCCAGGGAAGGCGGCCGGCTTCTGGCTGCTACCCCGTGTGAAGTGTTGGCACCTTAGCTACTGTACTGAGGGATGGGTCTGGTCTGCGAGCCTCACCCCTGACTGGAAAGATTATCATCCCTTTTCATGGTGAGGAAATCGCAGGCAGAGAGATTTGACCTAAGAAGCAGAGGGGCCCCTTAGCAGCTGAGCTGTGCTTCAGGGTCCCCCAGGACAAGGCCGTGCAAGGACCCTACAGGGCCAGAAATGCCAGGCCCATCTGACACTGGACACCGCTGGCCTTGCTGCAGACAGGAGCCTAGAGCCAGCATGCATGTGGGGAGCCCGTAGACCCCCAACTCACCTCCTAGCCCCTGAGCCAAGGACCAAGGGTGCCCACTCCTCCTGAACGCTAGCCAAGGCAGCTAGGGACTCAGCTACCAGCGCCAAGTGGGGTCCCATGCCCATAGTCTCCACAGTGGCTCTCCATCTGGAGGCGGACTGCAGACGGAGCCCCTCGCCGGGGACAGCCTCAGGCTGCAGTTTCAGAAACAGGCTTACAAAGTGATGAAATATGCATGACGTCCTTACCCTCTTTCTGGTTTCTTTTCTTATTACTTTGGCTTGGAGTTGTGTGCTCCATTTATGCACTTTTATTAATATAGTTACTTAGGGTTACAGTTTTCCTTCTCATAACCGTGTTGCCTGTGTCACAGGGACTCTGCTACACTGTGCTTTATTACCAAGAAATCCTGCAGTTCACACGTGTGTTTCCTTTTTAACCTTAGGGATGTTTTACATGACTCTGGGCAAAGTCCAGTGTCTGGAAACAAACTTTCCCGGTTTCAGCAGCAACGCCGCCGCAGAAAGAAAAAGAGAGGAACAGAGCAGGTGCGCTAGATCGAGAAAAGAAGTAGAAATAGCTGCAATGTCTGGATCTCACTTGGATTCTGATCAGAGAACAGACTGTTCAAAGATAAATATTTCTGCGGCAAGCTGGAAAACGTGACACTGCCGGGATATTTGATGGTATAAGAAGTGATTATTTTAGGCATGATAATGAAGTCATGCACATATTTTTCCTTTATTTCAAGCTTTTACTTTTCCGGAAGCCAAGGTACTTACTAGCAGAGTAACATTGTATCTGGGGTTGATTCAAAGTGAACTCCGGTGGTGGGAGATGCATATGGATTTGTGTATGTGTTTTTTGTTTTGTTTTGTTCTGTTTTTTGTCTTTTTGAGACAGGGTCTCGCTATGCAGTTCAGGCTGGCCTTGAGCTCATGTTATAGCCCAGGCTGGTCTCGAATTCACAGCTATCCTCCTGCCTCAGACTCCCAGGTACTGGGATTACGGACATGCACCCCCGTGCCCGGCCAAGATGGATATGGATGTGTGGGACAGGGTCAGCAGAGCTGACTGATGATACACGCTGGAGCCTGAAGACTGATATCTGGGGTCCTTAAACAGGTCTCTTTCCTTCTGCAATGCTTGAGAGATGACAAGGGTTTTTTTCAATCACAAAAACACACGCCGGTGGCATTCCTAGCATTTCTCCCTGCAGGAACTTTCCTGCGGAGGTGGTTCACGCACACACGTGATCTAGGGCCAAGAGGCGCCCCACGGAACTGTAATAGCAAGATCCCGGGGCCGCATCAACCTTCACCAACAGGGCGCGAAGCTGTTGAAAAGGAGGTAGCGCTATTTACTGATGCAGTAATCGCCACGATAGAGCAGCTGAGGAAAGTACAAGCAGAGAGCACTTCACACGGGGCTTGGACCCGCTGAGGGCCCAGAGAGCGGAAGGGGCGGCGCATCCTCAGCAGTCCCTGCCTCTGGGGAGAGCTGGTGGCTCGGAGCAGGGCAGGGGAAGAAGGTTTCCTGTCCACACCGAGTGTGTGCGGGTGTGTGAGACTTTTGAGCTTGGTGCACATATTCCTCGTTCCAAAAAGAAAAATAGTTAAAAAGTAAAAGTAACAGGAAACAAATTCATTAGGCTGAGATGGATAGAAAGTTACGGGAGGCTGGCTAGACACCCAAGACAGAGAAACGCAAAGTAACATGCGCTTGTATGAACACTCAAAGGTTAGCCTTGGGGGGTGGGTTTGAAAATTCTGTCCTGTACACCACGGGGTCCCTAGGGTCACCTGCAGCGGGGGCACGTCGTACGTGCTCAGTGAACACAGGCGTGAGGGCAGATCCCGTGGGAGGAGCAGCCCAGGCTTCCATTCTGTGCTTGTTTGGCAGCTGAGCAATACAGAGTATTGTCGAAAGAGTACCTGGTCCCCAAGCCAGGCCCGGATCGAAGTATCTGTCCTGCCTCTGGCTAGTGCTGGGAGCTCAGGTAATCTAGAGCCTCCCCGGCCCTCAGTTTGTTCATCTGTAAAATGGTCCCTTAACACATCCTTCGTCAGCTGCTGTGAAGATCTCAGATCTGCTGCACACGAACTATGTCGCCAGGTGGCGCAGTCCTGGCACACACCGGGTACTCAGCAAATGTGTGCTTTGATCCAAGGGGAAAGGAGCAATGAATCTAAGGTACGAAGGAACGAAACTTCACTCGAGTGCAACTGAGGTCCCATTCTGAAGATAAAAGTCGTCTCCAGCCTCGAACCCTCCGTTCTCGATAAAAGCTTAGTTCTGAGGAGGGGAAAATTGAGAAACCTTTTCCTGAGGCATGGGATGGCGACATGGACAGTTCAGCAGGGTTTTCTTTCATCTCTTCCAGTGCTTCAGTAACTCCTTCACTGATCACACACACACTCACCACCTTAGGGCCCCCCAGCTGGGGATCAGGAGAGACAAGAGGGCCCTCCTGGGTGGTAGCCAGGTTCCCAAAGCCTGGAACAGCCAAGCTGTAGGAGGCCCGGACACTGTCAGGAATGCCAGTAATCCAGCACTCCAGGACACTGAGGCGGGAGAACCCCAAAGTCCAGTCCAGCTAGGGCAACTCAGCAACCTGGCAAGGCCCTGTCTCAAAATAAAAAATATACAAAAGGGCTGGGGATGCAGCTCAGTGTGAAGGCCCCGAGTTCAGCTCCCAACACCACACACACAAAAAAGGGACACTTTCAGAGGCCTTGGGATATTTGCGGTGGCTGAGCTCATACCCCTGGGGCTTCCGGCCAGGAACTCTGTAGTGTACAGGAGCCTGAGAACAAGGTCAGTTTCTGGGGTCTGATGGACCAAATGCAGATCCAGTCCCGAACGCGGCAATTCCAGCTGCAGCTGTGCGTTTCCGCCCTCTTTCCGAGGGGCGGACATGGGTGGAACTTGACCTGATGGGGGAGCCTGGCCGAGTGGCCAGTTGCGGGAACCCCACTTCCTTGGTCTCTGCAGTGCGCTGCGGGCTGCTGCTGTGTTGGGGTCCGGTGAGGCAGGGGCTCAGCCTACCACCTGAAGATCCCCCTTGGAGAACTAGGACGACCTCACTCTCCTGGGAAGAAAGGCAGCACAGGAAAACCGGAAGTGGATGGGACCTCTGCAAGGCTGTGCGAAGAAGCCGAAAGCACTTTGTCCCCTTTAAGAAAAAGGACGTCCCGCGCAGATCCGCTCCAGCCCAGGTTGGCAGGCCGGAAACAGCATACAGCTCCCTCTGGTTCAGAGCTGACTGCCCTTAATTGCCTCACGTGGTTGGAAGGTGAGTAAGTGTCTCAGACCACAGAAGGGGGGGCAGGGAGGGGCAGCCTCACACGATGCTGCTCCTGCAGTGGGGTCCGGTGGGCTCTGGCTGTCCCCTGGGGATCCCTGGGCAGTGGTCAGCAGGCTGGGCTCGCTCCTTCTGAAAGCACTGTTTGACTGGGCCCTGCAGGAAGCAGCCACAGAAAGTGATTCTGCAGGCTCGGCGCCCACCTGCGCACCCCGAGCTGTGCAAGGCTCCCAGGCCTCCTCCACGGGGAGGAGCCAGATGCAGCCACAGCCAGAGCCTGTGGATCCCAGCTTCGTTCCTCCGCCTGCCCCAAAGACTCCTCAAAGACTCTGGAGCGACTCAGCTGGCCTGTCCTTCCCTCCTTCCCCTCTGCCTCTGCCAGGCTCTGGGTAGGAGGAAAAATGCCCGGCTCCTTCTTGACAGGCAGATCCCCCACCCGCTTCATGGTGCTGCTTCCCACAAATGACTCAACGGAGGCAGAGGCAGAGGCGAAAGCCTCAAAGCACCGCTGCTGGGGCCAACCCACAGCCCCTGGATGACTCGGAGTGCCTGTGCGGTCAGAGCTGCCTTGGGCAGCACCTTCCCTGGTGCCTGGTTCCCCGCGAGACGGGCTCTGCCTGGTCCCACAGCCACCCAAACACAGCCAGAGACACCACAGCTCCTCGGAGCTGCATGGGGCCGGGCTCTCAGGTGAAATCTACATCTAAAGGAGGCCCTGAAAAGTTGGCTTCTTATTTGAGTTTTTATATTGTTGACTCATAAAATTTGTACATATTCTGAGACCCTTCTCTGAGTTGATCTTTTCTGGTGCAGTCCATTCGCTCCTCTGCTTGTCTTTGCGGGCAGCTC